GGTATTCTTAAGCAAAAAATTACTCCCACTTCTTCTGAGCACATTGTTCGATTCTATTCTGGTACATGGTCAGCTGCAGATCACCCATGATATTAGCACCAGCTGTAGTCTTTCCTTCCTAAGAATCTTGTAATTATTTTGTAATCTTTCCTAGATCATAGCAAGTGTAACACCTCCTTGACACTATTTGGTGTGAGTGAAGCTTCCCCTTTGGGCACACAAAAGAGAGAACAAGATTGAAAAAAAGGAAAAAAGAAAAGAGAAGCATCAGAGTCAAAGCGAGAGAGAAATTGGTTAGTTGAGGGAGGATAAGTGTTAGTATGAAAATTGTATTGGCATTTCCTAGACTCTAGCATAGGTCGGGAATTAGTGTGTCAATATCTTTTCCAGGAAACACATTCAATTCCGGATTTTCAAAGTATGACTTGATCAAAGTGAGGACTTGATTTCAGGTAAATCATGATACAATCATGCATTCATTATAGGATTCCTAGCTGGAGCTATTTTCACTCAAATGCTTTTATATTAGTCTTATTTTTAATAGGATTAGATTTTATCTCTTGAGATTATTTTCCTAGTTGGACCTTATTTTGGTTTAAAGTTAAAATATCCTTTTTCATATTTAACTTGGAGAGTACGTCCTATTTGGTTTCATTGTTTTCATCTTGGTATATATTGTTTCCTTATATAAATTGATGAGATTGGAAGTTATTTTAAAGCATGCATAAGCTGATGCAATTGTATAAAGAATCAAATCTGTTTAGGCAATATTTGATCTCTTCGCTTATGCAATTCCCTTGGAAAAAGGAGAATAGGTCTGTATAAAGATAGGACGTTTTGCCTTGGTTGAAATACAGCTTTTAGATATTTTGGTTGAGAATCTAAATTTCCTAACAAAAGTTGCTGTGCATATCTTTGAGATAAGTCATCAAGTGTTCACTCGGTGATTTATCAAATACTTTCATCATTCATATTGCATTCATTTGCATGTTCGATGACTCATACTATTGAGGGCACCAAAACCGTGGTGGCGGTTTGTCTTCGGCGAGCTTGAAGCAATCGTGACCAGTATTGCATTCAACATAAGGAGGGTCAAAAGATCATCGCATGACAGAAGTTGAATTACGAAGAAGTCTGTAAACATTATCTAAAATATGTCTAGGATAAGTGTGTGAGTACTTCTTGTAATCATCGTTTTATAGTGGATTTGTTTTGGACTGAGGAGTCTCGTGGATTTTACCTAGAGATGGGGTTTTACCTCGTAAAATAATTCTCTGCGTGTTCCTTTATTTTATTGTCAACACGTTTCAGGATTGTTAAGCATATCAATCTTGCTACCGAAGTTCATTTTTATTTGATATTGTCGATGAGTTTGATATTGTCGATGGATCCCTCTGTGTTGTTTGTAATCCATTTCTGGGTAGTTGTAGTGGCCATTATGGCTATTGTATTTGTATTTCTCTCGTGGCGAAATTTATGAATGCAATCTCCCTACCCAGTAACAAAGGGAGCAAAGGCCCAAGGTGGGGATGTGCCCCCTCTCAAATTTTATTTTAGGCTATTGTTTTATTAATATAATCCTACTTTTCTAACCAAAATTTGAAGTGCCCATGCATTTCTTTCTTTGTATTTTTCTAATTTTCATTTTCTCACTATCATTGCAACCCTTTGACATCTCCTAGTGCCCGTCTGCCAATGCTTATTTGGAGTGATAAGTGATTTTTTAAAATTTTTGAGAAGTATTACTCGTTTGATAAACTATGAAAAAATCACTTATTGTTACATGCTTTCATTTTTTGATTATGTGTAAATCAGATTGAGGAGTGCTCGGTATTTAATGAAACTTTCATAATTCCAATAATACTCTTATTTATGTTTTGTGATGAATTTTGTGCTTATATTTGTGATGAAGTTTTGTTTAAATTATTTAAATCGAAATTCATCTATGTTTTTTGTTTTGATGCTTTCACTACCATCTTGTCGTGTTTGATGTTTGGGAATAAGGATGTTTAGGTTTGAGGGGTAGGATAAAACCCGGTAATCTTTACTGAGAAACAAAGGAATTATTCAATTAGCAGTAGATGCACTGGTTGCCCTTGACGAATCTAATTCAGCCATATGGGAAGCATTTATCAGTGCCGAGAAAATATAAATTGGCGATCTTATCAAATTGGACAGAACAAGCCAGAGTCTTGCTGCTCAAATTGGTGATCTTATCAGTAAGAGTTCTTTGCAGGTGCCACAAGGGTTGCTTTCTTTTCAGGATGCTTTGCTATATATAGCTGCCCTGCTAATAATAATAATAATAATAATATTATTATTATTATTATGTTATGAGATTGTTTAATCGGTATGCCCGTATTGTATTTGTTTTATTGTCTCAGTGGGTGATTTCTTGTCTCTTGTTGTCTGAATTCTCTTGCTTCCTATTCATATAGGCTATACGAAATAGTTTCTTCACAGCAATGCACCTCATGTGCCTAATTGTATTTGTATTATTTTTTTTTAATGGAATATCGTTGATGTATATTAGGAATGATGGCAAGATAAACTTCAGGTATTTGAATTTTTTTTGTTATTGTTTTATTAGTGTATTGATATTCAAAATTTTTTTTTTTCAAATTTAAAATTTATTTTAATATTTGTATATGCCATAATGCAGGCAAAACTCAAGTATGCAAGATTCCAATTTGAGGGTATCATTCATGAGGTGGATGAGAAGTAGATAGGATGTTTTGAACGTTACAGCCATTGGTAAGATGGTCATATAGCACAAGAAATGGAGACATTGAGAAATCATATAACCGCAAGTTTAATGAGTTCATCCACTCATAAATAAATAAATAAATATATATATATATATGTATGATTGCTTGTTTGTGACTAGTTTAATTTTTTATTTTTTTTTATGACCATATTATTGACATAATAGCCTATGATCTGAATTCAGACTGAGTTAAAGTAAAAGCACCTGAGTGAAAGTGAAAGCATCTGAGTGAAAGTGAAAGCACCTGAGTAAAAGTATCTGAGTCAAAGTGAAAGCATCCGAAGTGAAAGTAAAAGCATCTGAGTTAAAGTGAAAGCATCTGAGTGAAAGTGAAAGCACTTGAGTTAAAGTCACTTGTAATTATTACACTAGAGTTAGTTTACTTGGGTTACTCTTTTTCCTAGAGTTAAGTCTTTCTTTTTAAGGAGGCTTCGGCCTCATTAGAATGCAGAATGTAAAATTTAGTTTTCTTAGTTTCAAATTGTTCTCTCAGAACCAATGTTCTGATGAACAGCTGAGTGTGAGCAAAACTAGGAGCTATCTTTTGTAAGCATTCTCACTGAGCCTATACTTATGTTAATAAAAGTTTTTTGAAGTTTTTCCAAGTACATATTATGTTCATAAATTCATTACATTTAATTCATACCATTATTTTTATACATTCAATATTTGTTTATTCATTGATTAAATTTGTGCATAAACTGCGATTATTCTTATACGTTTGCTTCCTTACTGTCTATTCTAATCCTTCTTGGTTCTAGACCCCTTAATAATAATAATATTATTATTATTATGTTATGAGATTGTTTAATAAGTATGCCCTTATTGTATTTGTTTTATTGTCTCTGTGGGTGATTTCTTGTCTCTTGTTGTCTGAATTCTCTTGCTTCCTATTCATATAGGCTATACGAAATAGTTTCTTCACAGCAATGCACCTCATGTGCCTAATTGTATTTGTATTATTTTTTTTTAATGGAATATCGTTGATGTATATTAGGAATGATGGCAAGATAAACTTCAGGTATTTGAATTTTTTTTGTTATTGTTTTATTAGTGTATTGATATTCAAAATTTTTTTTTTTCAAATTTAAAATTTATTTTAATATTTGTATATGCCATAATGCAGGCAAAACTCAAGTATGCAAGATTCCAATTTGAGGGTATTATTCATGAGGTGGATGAGAAGTAGATAGGATGTTTTGAACGTTACAGCCATTGGTAAGATGGTCATATAGCACAAGAAATGGAGACATTGAGAAATCATATAACCGCAAGTTTAATGAGTTCATCCACTCATAAATAAATAAATAAATATATATATATATATGTATGATTGCTTGTTTGTGACTAGTTTAATTTTTTATTTTTTTTTATGACCATATTATTGACATAATATTTTTTTTTAATGGAATATATTGGATTTAATTTGAAACATTAGTTTAGAGCATTTAGATACAAATCTTTAATTTTCAATTATTGGGCTAACGTCAAAAGACTCCTTGAAGGTTTGGGGTCATTCTCAATATGGGCCATCGGATTTTAATTTCATCAATTTACACATCTGACCAATTTAGGCCTTTTGTTAAGTTGACTGTTTGGTTAGACGTTAACTGATGACATGTCCACTATGGAACCCATCAATTCCTTAAAAAAATTAATAAATCAATTATATAATATAATACAATAACATTTAAAAAAAGCTTCGAAGAGAAGGTGCGGGTGGCTGGATTTGTCGGAGGGGAAGGGGGATGGGGTGGGAGAGCTTGGAGGAGAAGGGGACAGAGAGAGAGAGAGACGAAGAGAGGGAGTTTCTTTTTTAAAAGCTGTTTTTTAATGTTATTTTATTAACATTATGGCATGTAGGGAGGAAGGGAGTGCTTTATCCGGGTCGTGGTTCATTTGTGCGAATGGTGACTTCATAAGGAATGCTTAACTGCAATCATCGTTGATATTTTATATTTGTAAGAATAATAAATAGAAGGCTAAGAAAATGTTTTTCTGAATAGTTCTGAAGATTTTTCACTGTATTGATTTAGAAAGCTCAACAGAGTACTTATACCCTTACCCTTACCCTTACCCACCACCACCAACTCCACCACCACCACCACCACCACCAACAACTCCACCTTCACTTCCACCTCCACCACAACAACCACCACCAACTCCACCTTCACCTCCACCACCACCACCACCACAACCACCACCTCCTTCAAAACCTCCACAACCACCACCACCATACTGCCACATCCACCACCATGCTGTCACCACCACCACCTCCACAAGCGCCATCCCTACCACCACCACCTCCACTCCATCACTACCACTACTACCACATGATTACTACATAACACTTTTAACATCATGTCTATTTTAGTCATTATTCACAGTTACAACAATTTTATATTAAAACTTACCAAACGGTTTTGACATTGCTTTTTGTACTAACAGCACTTTAAAAATATTGTTTACCAAACACGGAGCTGCTTTACTTTACAGCTAATTATTTTCAAATCACAGTAGAAACAACTTTTTTTAAAAGTGACAGCAATCCCAAACTGGGCCACAATCCTCAGCATTCAGGACCCAAATAGGGTCGGTTTATGTTTTTTAGTGATGCATGTAGGATAAACATTATTACACACGTTTAAATAAAAGTTCAAACCCCTAGAGCCCCTCTCTCCCAATAAGGGCTAAAATCCAATCAACAACCAGACAATATTGCCTGGACCTAACTCAAAGCATAGTGGTCCCTCTCTTATTTGAGCAAAGACCGAAAGAGAGTCTGACGTAAAAACTCACATAATTGGCACTGGATCAATAAAATGTGAAGCAATCTTATCCTTCACCAGTTTACCAACACGCGTGTAGCCATCGTCACCTTTGTAAAGGAGATCTATCACTTTTGTTAAATTAAGAACTCTCATTATGACAGCCATTGGCGCTGCAGTTGGTCTGAGAAACTCCCCGTTTATGTCCTTCCACAGATCCACCACTTGCTTGTTCAAAGAATCAAGTGCCTCTTGCTCCGACACCGCATATTGCTTCATGTAGCAATCAATACTACAGGCAACATGGCCTCTCTCTTTCTCAAACTGCATAAATTCGGTAATATTATACAAAATCAGATTGTCATTCTTACTACTAGTATTACTAACACCGATGTTGTTTCCAACTTAACCACCAACAAAGTTTAGTGTGGGTTTTTATCACCAAATACCATGATGCTATCAGTTGTGGAACCACTTATTATATATAGTATTTTATTTTGTCAAATTTTCGATGTGAAACTTCGCATTTTAAACATACTTACCTAATCTAGCATGACTATAATATTTTATACCTTGCTTGTGACAATATCATCCATGAACCTACAAAGGGTCGAGGAAGCTCTAACAATTTTTGCGTCATTGAACAGCCACTCAAATGTCTCCTTCGTTACAATATCTCCCAAGCCAAGTAAGGATACAGTTGAAAGCATGGGGTAACCAGTAGAAACTATTGCAGCAGGTAGATACTCCTCCATGGTTGGGGTGTATCCTTCATTGAACCATCTGGCCTCCTCAAAGTAAGCTCGGGCTACAGCTTTCAACTGGAGGGGACATAACGTTATAGCTAGATAATGTGGAAGAAAATAATTTAAATATATTATATACATACAGATTCCTTTGCATAATAAACTCGGTTTGATCTTCCATCCTTTGCAATCTCTTCCCCAATTTCATCGACAACATTCAAAAGGGTACGATAAAATATTTGCATATAGTCTGGGAGTTCATCAATGGAACTCATATCCCACCTGAAAATTTGATAAACCTTGTAAGTTGGCTTATTTAGGAGCACTTTCTGCAATTACAATAAGTCAGCTCTAATTAGTAAAAAGAAAATTATGATTTCAAAGTAGTACCTCTCAATTGCTGCAGTAAAGATCTCAAGTTCTTCAAACGTAGCATATGCGTCGTAGATATCATCCATCACTGATACCAGCGCAATCACTTTTGTAAGAAATTTTCTTGCTTCGACGTATTGGGGTTCAAAGTATACTCCGACTACCCAAAAGTACAACTCCACGATCCTATCTCTTGCGAAAGGCAGCTTCTTTTCAAAGCCTACTTCTTTCCACCACCTAATGAGCAATAACATTAGCTGTATGTGTAACTTGAGTATATATGCTCACATTTACAATTAAAAGAGAGACTTACCTATTAATCTCACTGAGCTCCTTTTTGTGCAAAGACTGAACAAGATTGAAATCTAACTTTGCAAGTTTCAACAAAGCTTCATTGTGTGAAGCTTCATCTTGGTAGATTGACATGTAACGCCTGGCACATACCCTCTCTAGATCTTTTCGCAAAGGTCTCTCCAAGGCTTCAGTGATTTGTTCTGCGTGTTCGTAGCTTACATGAGCTTTTGCAGCAGAGTCAAGGTGAGTGGTGGTGAAAGCAAGAGCTTCATCTAGTATTTCTTCTTCCCGTACGCCCAGATGGCCGGCTTCATAAAGGCTTAGCATCCCCGGAACATCGGCAATTAAGCATTCCTTGAAGCTGCCATTTTCGTCTTTGAACTTGTTGAACACATCTGCTTGATTGATATAAAAATGAACAGGCATCAGTTGGCCAAAATCAGTCACAGTACACTCCACTACATTATAATTTATTGATTAACTTACCACATGAAACCTTGTATCCATGTTGTCTTAGTAGCCGGAAACCAAGAGCAACGTTGTATAGATCTCCATCATCACTAAAGTCATGGTCGCGAAATGCAGCATGCATACGCTCCAATGCTTCTTCAATTTCACTTTCAAAATGGTATGCCACGCCAAGACGCTGGATTGCATCAATAAACTTGAGCTGATGTGAAAAGTCACTTGCACTAGTTGTGAATACTTCCCTTCTCACTACTTCTTTCAGGTTGTCAACTTCTGGTTGGTTCCGGGCATTTGTTATCTGCGGCCAGTA